AGAGAGAAATGTTTGGATATGTCTTTTTGTAACTATGAGAATTTTCTTTCTAAAATATGTTCATAAGAATAGTAGCCAGTACTTAGGATACAGCAGGGATGGTTGCTAAATGAATGAGTTTTATTTTATCTCACTTAATTGTTTTAACAAATTCATGAGGTAGGTCTTACATTCCACTTCACAGATGAGGAAACCAAGGTGAAGGAACTTGTCCAAGTTATATACATAGCCAAGTAAGATTGAAACCTGACTACAAAGCTCATATTCTTAGTCACTCTTCTGCAGTTTTAAGGCACTACTATTGAAGACAGCGATAACAACAACAACAACAAAATAAAGTAGAAATTAAAAAAAAAAAATGATGAAATAGATGGCAGACTGTTTTACAACAGAACTTCGGTTTAAGTTCGGTCTAAGAAGCCTCTTCCATATGTATAAGGAAGTTAGGTAAAAGCTAAGAAGCTGAAAGTACATACCTCAGCATGTATAAGGACGTTAGGTAAAAGTTAAGAAGCTGAAAGTACATACCTCAGCATGAAGGCAATGCCCCTAGGAATAAACAGATGGTCCTGGGGATCAGAAAGCTCCTAGGCTATCCTAAATGATTCAAATAATCATAACTCAAATTGTTTATATATTAGCCATCTGGCTTGCTATGCATATTATAACCAGAAAAGAAGCAGACAATGTGAAATAACAATTCCATGTCATAAAAATCATAAACAGCAGGCAAAATGAATTCTTTATTTGCCTATTTTCTGTAACAAAACAAAACAAATTTATTGTTTCAAAAGTATCTTGTTGAAATTGCAGAGGACAGAGATCCTGTAAATTTTCTGGGAGGTGAAAGAGGATGAGAAAAAATAAAATGATCTATTATTGTTTTAAGATAAATAAAATATTACTGGTAGGTTTTTAAAAATTGTACTGCAATTATTCTTATGTTTTGGTGAATACAATGTAGGTTATATGCTGTATATATGTATATGTAAATGCGTACAAATTGGGGCTTCTGTGGGCTCACTCAGGGTCTCTCAACACTTAACCCCATTTCTCCATTAGAGTTTTAAGTACATCAATTATAGATTCTCCTGTCACTGTGTCATAGGAGTTACATCACTGAAATCAGTCTCAAGCATTCCATACTGTGGCTTTTGTCTCTCTCAATAAATCTTTTTGTTGTTTTTATTGCAAAGCTGCATAATATAATTGATATGGCATGGAATTTGGAATTGTCTGGAGGAAATTGTTCTACTATGATTTAACCTCTCCAAGCCTCTGATTACTCAATAGAAAAACAAAAGTATTAAAAATTCTGCTATTGTATCATCCGATTGTTTTGTAACAGTATTGTTATCTTGCCTAATTACCTCTCTAGATTGTGCAGTAGCATATGAAGAGTACCTGGTTTCGTGCCTGACACATCATGGTGCTCAATAACTGCTAGGTTTTTTGTTTTCCTATTAAGATTTTCCAAGTTTATATAATAAACACAAGGTATTTGAAATGATAGACCAAATCATTGAAGACAGGATTCTGGTACACAGAAGAGTCAACCCCGAGAAATAATATCTGTGATAACACAGAGCCTGAACAGCTACTATTTACTGGAACACTTACTATGCCTTAAAAAATGTAAGAAAATACCAAAACTAAGCACTAAATGAGGACGGAGGGTGGGCTACACGCAGGCCTCAAGGAAAGGCAGGGCCTGGTGCTGCCCCCTAGTGGAAAGCAGGAAGCCTGGACAGTAATTGCCAGTTGCTGGGGCTGGAATGACATTTACGTGCGGCTGGTAAAGTCAAGAGCTCCAGATAAGGCAAAAATTCCCTCCAAGTCATGCTACTATAGAAAAATAGGCTGCCAGTCAGTTACTGGAAGGTTACAAGTAAGAGAGCCTGGTAGATAACAATGTAATCAAGGCATACAACTTCAAAAAATGAGTTGAGAATAAAGTTCGTAGATATCATTTGATTTATTTTTAAAGCAGTCATTATTAGGCTTTTGTTTTTTAATTTAAGGCAATTTTGGGCTCAGAATTCTTTCTAAGAAAAATTTTAGAATAATTTTTACTCAGGTTTTCTAATGACAGAAAGCTAGATATAGCCCATTGTGCAAGAATACATATCATTTTGAGTTGGAAAGTTATGAAGTTCAAAGTGAGATAAGAAAATTTAGGTCTTTTATGTATGTTCCTACTTTCTTAAGCTGATATTGGCTGACGAAATTCCTTTTTTTTTTTTTT